CTTTACAAATTAATGAAAGGGTTCAAGTACACATCTATTCTTCCAATAACAAATATCAAACTAGACTTTCGTGCTTGGTATTACCTACAATAACAAGTAACATCCCCATGGCATCATTCAGTCGATCTGCACTAAATATTCCTGATAATATTGTACTTGCAGATCTTAACTGTTGCGAAACTCTTCCTTGGTCGCCTATTGCAAACTCGACTCGATTTATTAAACCCTGACAACTTGTACACCAAAATTACTCAAAAACAGCAAGCAGCTTTTCAACGTTTCTTCCGTATATTCTACCCGACACAAAAAGTTTATTTTTTGTCTGGAAATCCCAGAATGGAAAAATGGATACCTGGTACAATTGTTTCACGACAGGGCGATCTCCACTATGAAATTGATTATTTTGGAAAAAGTTTTAAGAGACACGTCGACCAAATCCGAGGACGACAAGAAAATAGATGTCTAGCATCATTACGAAACCGGCACACAACCAAGTATGTGAATCCTAAGCAAAATTGGCGCTAACGTCGACCGTCCCATCCTGAAACACGATTAACGATTCCGAAGGCGGTGTTTATTTATTTATTATTTTTCAATAGGGTGTTTTCATTGTATCAAAAATTCCTACAAACTGAACATAAATCTATGGTAATATACAAGGTCCGTCTTTGGGAGCTTACACTAGAAGTATTCGCCAAACAGAAACTACCAGAGTTCTGAAGCTTTCAATACAAGGTAACTTTGGGGCTAACTCATAAAGGTTGAGGCTAACTCATCTAAAATATTGTCAAGGCGATATCACTTTCGGTTATACCGGAAGTAGGTACTTACTCGCTTCTTTTAAATGGAATACCTTGTATATTATTACATTTTTGGGTTCTCCGCCGGATTTTTGGGTCATTTTGTTAAATGAACTGGGTACGAAATTTCAGCCGTTGTGAAATACTATCCATTTTTCCATAAAAATGGTGCAGGCTTGGAAATAATTCGTTGTTCCGCCTATTTGGGTCAATCAATTTCAATATAACTTTAGTTTGTTGTAGCCAAAGGTGCCATGTCTCAATGTGCAAAAAATTAGTTTTTCATTTCGTATAAAAAAGAAGTTATGGAAAATTAAACTTGACTGTCAAAATCATATCATCGTCATATTACGCACTTTTTTCTTTTTTTCCGTGTATATCCGTTGCTATTCCGAGTTCAAAGAAGTTGATGACAGATTATTTATAGGCACTTGAATGCGCAACTTTTTTCCCATTTGGTCCACCCTGTAACTCTAACCGTTTCCAATATCCCCATGTACATCATTTTATACTGGACACACTGTATATACAGGGTGATTCAAAATTGGCGTCATTCCTCTGGAGGTGTTGTCTGGCGCTGTTATGGGAGTACAGAAAAAATTGTAAAAGAAATTAATTGTTATCAAAAACTGAGAAATTTTCAAAAAACTATATCAGAAATACGGCAGCAATGTTTTTCAAGGTAATCTGCCTAATTACCATTGCGCAAATACCTGTTGCTTCGTAATTATTTAAAACTCCGGTAACCATGGAATTATACAGACTGACAATAAGATAGACAAGGATAAACGCTAAATTCAACAAGACTTGTTGACGAAATGTCAACCTGTTCTCATAACCTAATTCTGCGGGGTTTTCTGTTTACATAAATAATCCATACAACACCAAACATTTGAATGGTTAACTCCAAACAAGCTAGTACCTGTGTAATCTCCTTATTATCCACTCTCATCAAGCAGCTTCTCGTATTCAGTTAATTAACTCGTGCTCCATTTGTATCTTCTTGTGCTGTATGTATCGTAGAATCGTCTTTCCTCGGTATTTACTTGGTGCTTGGTAAAGTGTCAGATATTGTGCTCTGAGTGCCCGTGGAAGRCCCTAATTCGATYATGTCCAATACTTGTTCCTCTGTGCCTGGAACCCGAACATCAATTGTCGTCCACCATCTTTTTGGAACCACTTTCCTCGCCCTTTCTTGGCGTGAGTTCTTTCAGCTTCTGCTATGTTAGTGTAGCATTTCCCCTGAACTAATCGCATATCCGCAAATTCGTGAAAGGAAATTCAAAGTAAGTCACAGTTTGACAAATTCTTGTTATGATTGCGAAGGGCTATCCACCATTACAAAAAACATCATTGCCGCTGTGCCTTTTCATCAAAAAATTGTTGAAGAGAACTTTTTTGATATCAAAAATTTTCGTAATTTGAAGCAAAGATGGTAATTTTTCTTTTTGCTTAAGTATTCCAATATGCTAACAATTAAACATAGAACAATTTCAAAATAATGCTTAATAACAAAGTTGAAATTCGATCTTCTAGAAATTTTCGAAAAGAAAATTTCTATATTTTTCTGGTACTCCCCAAGGAATGACGCCAATTTTGAATCACCCTGTATATATATGAAAGATTAAATAAGTTTATACTATCTATTTATTGCTATTTTGTTAAATATTTAGTAAACAAATTCAGCTAAAATTCAAATTATTCATGAATCTCTAAAACACAATCCTAGTGGTTTTGCCGTCTCTGGTCATATAAATAACGGATTGTTTGCGTTCTGTGCATAGTGTTTAGTTGTGTGGTTGTGCTTCATTAATTATTTTGTGGATTTAAATAATTTATAGTTTGTGTTAAACTAAAAAATGGCTTCAGGAGAATTCCTTAAAGCGTCAACAAACAATTTACCATGTGTACATATTTTTATGGTTACCGAATTTTTCAAAAACGACGAACGCTTCAATTCAGCCGAATTTAAGGGTGTCAAAGCAGCAGCGTAAGTAAAAATTCGTAAATTTATTATTAGTTACTCTCTCCTTAATATACTAATATGTCTGTATTGGTTTAAATTAGGTAAATAATATATAGAATTTCACTTATCCAACTTAACCTAACCTATATACATGGCTGCTTTAAAAGTAAAATGACCTTTTGAATTTGTATTTTGGGCATCACGATAACAATATGGTGATACCGGATATGTGGAATTGAAACGCGAGGGTTCTTTGTGCACTGTACAAGGTAGAATTTGCCCAGAACACAGAGTACGATCGGAGCCTACGTCTGCCTCATCATTAGTTTTTTCTTCCAACTTTCATTAAAATGATCCTTGCCACAAAAAAACATTGATGTTGATTTATCAACATCACGTCTAGCTGGTTTGAACTGTAAAACTTTACGTGCATAATCATGGGGAACGGTTAGAAAGAGTTTGTTTGGAGCACTTATTGACGTATTCTTGCATCCTGGCACAAAACACCATTTACTTTTTGATCCATACATGTCACGACTTTCCATTATGCAAGATGATAATAATAATAATCAATAAAATAATGATAATCACAATAACTTAAATAATAAAACAAAGCTGCGGAAACAACAAAATAAACACGAGACACTTTGTTGATATGACCTGCTACGTCATAATCGGGATAGGCAACCGACGATACGGATTGGGCGTTTTTTGCGGAAAATATCTGATTTGAATTTAAATTCGCTTTAAAATTATGATGGAGACTTTTTGCAAAAAAAATATATCAGGGTAATGTTTGCCATAACTACTTTCTATATATCAGCATTAAAAAAAAGTGAAAACACCCTATTGCTACTTCTAGTTCAACCGAGCTACCGGGACCGGAAAAAAATTATCTCCGAATCTGCTTGCTATTCCTACAACCGGAACAACATCGACGACACTGCGTAGATCAACTCGTGTGCGAAAGCCACCCCAGCGATATTGCCAAGAATTTGTCTAAGAGATTATCAGCACCGGTTTCAAGAGATTTCTTCAAGAGAGGGCAAGAAATGCTATGTTCGTCGTTCCACCTTTTAATTATTTTCATTGCTCGTTTCACCTTATTTTTATTTTATCATTGTTATGATTGTCATCGATAGAGAATTGTCACTCCAGTTTTGATTATCAATAAATTCAGAATAAAACAGATTTTAAAATAAATAAAAAGCTTTTTTTTTCTACAATACTCCATATGTCCGATAAACATAAATACCAGGCAATTTTCGCCTTTCTCAGTTAATCTTAAAAAAGATTGATTTAAGTCCTTTGTAAAGGCGCATACTTTCGATAGGGATCATTAAAATTATATTGTTTTTGGTAAAATATTTTTCTGTTTCAGCATGCTCCCTATTTTGCGAGCCATCTTTAAGTCACATACGTAAGTTTCTCTAATATAAGTACGCATTTTAATTTGGGTATCAAACAGACCTTGTTTTAAATACATGTTGGAATACTTAAGCGACATTTCATTTCTCGTGAGCATTGGACCTCTAATTAATTTATATTTGGCAAAAGAATTTTATTTTAAAGGAAATATATTAAAGATTTGATGGGTGACATTCTGGGTTTTTGCCATCTTTTGCAACGCCTATTTTTACATTTTATAGCAACATATTTGGTTAAGGCAACGTAACAAAGAATATAAGAAACCTGACACGCATTCAATGCCAAAAACGTTTAACATATTAATGTAATAAAACAAATACGGACAAAAGTAGAGTGAAACCTTCAACTGCTAACTAGGTTCTCCCTATTACATCCGCTAATAAATGTTAAATTAAAAAAGACTCCATAAAAAAATAATTAAAATCGAAAAATGCTGCTAATGACCAAATGTTTTTCAACTGTAATTAAACAAAACTTGTTGCTAACTTTCAAAGTAGCAAAACCAAAGCACTTATGTGCTGCTTGTACATCACTTTAGATATATTACCAGTGGTGCTATCAAAGTGTGCATTAGGTACTTTAATGGATACATCTTTATGCAAAAGCGTCTGTCATTTAGTCACCAAGTACTATTGTTTTACTCTTCAAGTTTCGCCGTCAAACGACGAACATGAACTACAATTTATTGTTTAATGGGTTTTTTTGTTTAACGAATCCGCAACATTCCTTTCAAGCAGTTGTATCTCCGCCTTTACAAAAGGCGCGAGCCTGTAAACACGACCGATGAGAAATAGAATTAGCGTCCCAACAACTTCCTACATGGACACGGACTCACCTGAATGATGCTTCGGTTTTCGTTGAATAGACGAGGTATAGTCAGTCTCACTTTAGCCATAAGTCCAACAAAGTATCATAAAAAATGCACAAAATAAAATTAAACATGTAAGAGAACAAATTGTGTTAACCACCAAAAATAACTGGGTGAAAAGAAGGTAGAACACATTGGATGAGGGATAATCAGGCGAAGCAACTTGGCCATTTTAAATAAGAAATATTTTGCAATATTGAAAACGCGAAGCCTTGTTAATGACAGCGACTTTCAGGTACTGGTTTGGTCCAATTTTCCAACTGCTGACAAGATGCGCATTTTATAAGCATACTCAACCCCAATTATCATAATTTCTTGAGAATCCTATCACGTTTTACTTAGGACGCATTTTTTTGAATCTTATCTCCCACTCGATCAATTATCTAAAAGCCATAAACTTCCAAGACGAGCAAAGCATGTTTCCTTTGTGTGTTTCACAAACATATTTCAAACTAGTAGTGCTCATAAAGCAAGGCGCCTTGGTCTAGTTTGTGCCGAGTAATAGGAAACGAATAAAAAATTACATAATAAATTCTGAAGACGAAAAAATCGGACTGGTCGCCTCTTAAAAAAATCCTTTATCTGATTAAAGTCTGGTTTATGAAGACCGTAACGCTGCGGTCACCAAAAATTATGTGACGGATTAAAAGAACATAAAAGCCTCTCGCGGTGCTTCCTTAAAAGATTAAAAGGTCCATGTTAATTGTTGAATTCAGCCTGATGCATCATGTCGTTTCGAAACATGTTTGCATCGTGTAGATAGTGCGGTTAATGTTTTGCGATTCGCTTAAATCAGGAAAACGACCCCGGAAGTATAGAAAACACCCGATTTTATAGACTGGTATACCACGCATCGACGGATATCTCTAAACATATCTTTCGATTTATCTTCAGCAGGTCGGGCGACCTCTTATTTCTATATCTGTCATAAAACATGTAGAATGTCGACGAGGTCGCATAGTCGAGGCTTGTGATGGCCATGCTACATTATGGCCACTTTTGTCAATGTCCGTTGACAAGGTATAGTGCGTTTACTGTAAAATAATATCTTCGATTAATGTTTTTTAATCTGTGGCGAAACTTGATAATGAAATTTAAAACCTTGTCGTATTCGGGAATGGTGGATGACGCAACTATCACATTTTCCTAAAGAAATTATTACAGTGCAGTTAGGCGGGGCTAAATCATGTCAAACAGATGGATCTTTACTATTCGGATTGGAAGGGTCTAAAATACTTTTCAATGGGATCATTGCATTCTTTGCGATGAAAATGATAAGTCGTTTGACAAATTTGAAGCAGTTTGACTTTCTTGATAAAATTAGTCACAGTTCTCTAGATTTTTTCTAGCAAAGATTTACTTTTCAATTGAATTTTTTTTTTCACCTTGCGAAGCTCCTCAATGTGCTAATATAAATTGTTTGATTCTACAGTAAATAAGATATCGTGGATTAAAAATTGTTTCCATTCAAAAACCGCTTAAAACAGATAATGTTTTTTGGCTATTTCGGATCAGCCGGAAAAAATTGCTTTCCCTCAAGTGAGCTTTGCTAATAAATGACGCCGATATTTCATCACCCTGTATCTGCGCTAACCTAGATATGTATGGAAATTTGATGTGGTGGGTTCAATTTTTTAATGTTTTCTACATCGGGAATTTCATTTTCGATTGTCGCTAAGTTTTTTTTATTTTATTCCAATTTCAAGAAACAAGATCGGGATTTCGAGCTAAAAGCTAAGCTAAAAACTGATAATTAATCCTGAACTTTCAGTATTAATGAGTCAAGTATCCTCTAATCATGAGCAAATCTCTAAATAGCTGTTTAATTTTATTTAAAAGATGCACGTTTTTTTATCAATTCTTCTTAACACTGACATTAAATAATCTTCACTGGATGGCAAACGTGAAAAATTGTTAAATTTGGAGTGTTTTTGAGTCAAAAGCGTCAACGTTAAACATTGCTTAATGCCTTTGTCATGTCGTGCTCGAAGGGTGGACTGGGTGGCAAAAGCTGAAGAATTGGTAAATTTGAAGTGATTTGTGCGTTAAGCGAGTGTCGTCGGGCTCGGCACAACTTTGACATCAAACATTCTTGAACGTGTTTGTTGTGTCGAGCCCGAGGGTCTGAGTT